ATTCTTTTGTGCTTCTTGCACAAATCTAACTTCCACTGGCTTGAATGGCAAGAGGCTGAGAATCTGCTACAGAAACTAGTGAAATTCTACCTTGTCAGCTGCTGCAAACTTCATTTTTAAGATCTTCATTGGATGTGGACATCCCTGGCTGGACCAGCAATTATTGACCACCCCTAGCTGCTACGGAGAAGATGACAGTGTGCTGCTTCCTTGAACGACTGCAGTCCATTTGGTGTAGGTTGACCCACAATACCATTGGGAAGGGAGTTCCAGGATTTTGACCCAATGACACTGTAAGACTGGTAATATATTTCTAAGTCAGGATGGTGAGAGGCTTGGAGGGTAATTTGCAAGGGGTGGTGTTCCCGTGTATCTGCTGCACTTTGTATGAAAGTGGTCGTGGGTTTGGAAGTTGCTGTCTAAAGAGCCTTGGTGAATTTCTGTAGTATATCTTGTAGATAATACACATTCCTGTGACTGAGTGTTTGACCGAGTCCATCACAATGTTTGTGGATGTGATGTCTACAAAGCAGGCCACTTTGTCCTGGATGGTGTCAAGTTTTATAAGTGTGGGTGGAGCTGCACCCATCCAGGCAAGTGGAGAGTATTCCATCACACTCGTTGTGCCTAGTAGATGGCTGATAGCCCTTGAAGTTGCAGGAGATGAGTTACTCTCTGCCGTAACTGGGTAACTAACTTTTGTTGTTGTCACCAATCATCCTGTTTAGTAAGACAGAGATCGATATCTCTAGATGGATACATGGGATAGAGCTTCCGGTCAAACCCGTCTGGTGTTGGAGAGATTTGGTTATTGGCAGACTTCAAGATAGTATGTAACAAAAGTTACAGTTCAACAATTTTGGAACACAGGATGTCACTGAAAAGCAGAGCTGCTTAATTTTGACCCTTGAGTTTTGCCCACTTTGCCTGCAAGTGTATCTAAGGGTATATTTAGCTGTTGCACTTTAATCAAGCTGGAGAAGTTTTGGGGGTTTTCTGCTGCTTTGGGGAATGTGCATGAGTAGATGACTGAAATATACCATGGATTGAAAATCAAACCTTGCATTGTGGTATTTTAATCAACCTGTTTGGATATGTTATGACATACATCTAGGACAGGCAGGACTTGAGCTAGGGCTCAGATGCTGCCATTGCACCACAAGAGCCCTTAAAAATTGCATTGTAGGCGTTCTTAGACACTGGATGCCTCCAAGCACTGAAGCCGATGAAGTACTTCTGAAGTATAGTCATTGTAATGTAGAAAACGTGGCAGCCAGTTTAGTAAGTGTTATGTTATTTGATAAATTGGTATTGGCTGGATAACCCATTGCTGTTATGTTTATTTGAGGGTTAAATATTGGCCAGGGCACCTGCTCTTGTTTGAAATAGTACTGTAGGACTTCCTTTTATGTCTTCAGTTTCAGTTAATGTTTCATCTGAAAGACAGCAACTCCAACAGTACTGAGTTCCCTCAGCACTCCTTCAGTGCTGTGGTCCTGGGAGGTGGTTCAGAATTAATTTATGCACCCTAAAACTTATTTCCATGGAGAAAAAGTCTGGTGTGCTGTCTCTGTTCAGAATGACATGCATGACAGAGATTGGATTAAATGGTGAAGGCTAAGCTTTTAATTACTGTAGCACTGTCAGAGAGGCTGAACTAAATGTTATTCGGACATTTGCGTCCTCTCGCTTTTCCAATCAGTTTTTTTTGACTGGAAATTTTTAAGAGGAATCAACAATGTTTAACAGTTGGTGGTGTTAATGTTGACATCCCAGAAGGTCTGACTGGGGAAATGGCACAGCACTTATTAATTGCACTCGGTCGCAGTAATATTTTCAAAGCCAGTGGGTGAGACTGTTGTTACAGACATTGTCGGTATGTCATTACATGCTTCATATTCCATGATTGAGTAAGATTGTAAACATTCATTGGTCACTTTTGCTCATATGGTGAACTGCTTTCTGAGCAGGGTAGTGAGATGTAATTGCTCAGACACAAACTAGCTCAAAGCTATAACTCAATGTGTCCTCCATGGATTAATTTGTAATTTGCACTAATTGCTGCAATTAATTAGCAGCATTGTTGCTGGTTTTCATACAGTAGTAGTAACGGGGTTGCATAAAATCCAAATCACCCTTTAACCCAATGCATTTTATTAGAGTGATGCACTTTTTACATCTCATCCACAGCAAGACCTAAAACCAATCGAGTTTGAGAAGAACAATCTGGGTAAATACTTTTTTTGAGTTCTAGAACTGACTTAAAATCCTCCATTTCTCAGACTAACATATTTTAATCCTGCCTTAACCTCTTCTTGATTGCTGCATCTATAACTATCCTGATCTCAGAATATAATTCTGCCCTTCATTTCATTTCTCATCTCTCCCCAGCTCCCTCTCCCTCGCGCTCTCTCTCACACACACTCTCACACTCCCCTCTCTCTTTCTTTTCAGACACTACGTAAAAATCTCTTAAACATCTTTTAGACATCCTTCCTCATATCAGCCAATCTATGTCTGTTTTGGTTTGATTCTGACTGTGAATTGGGTTGTTTTTTGACGTTAAAATAGCTGTCTGAAACCATATTATTGAGACATCAACATAGTCGGGAAGCCTGATAAGTTTGCACATTGTTTTTAAAAACAATGCTGATTTATTTTTTTGGAACATTGGATCTTTTGCGAGGCCATGAGTACTTCAATCTCTAGTGTTTATGGGATTTGTGTGGGAGAGACTGGGAAGTGTGCATGAATACAGATCACACCAATATTCTTACTGCATGATCCCAAGAGGTTAACGGTGAGCACTGTCGAGAATCACAAAATGATTCATGAATTCATTCAATACGGAAGAAAGCCGTTCAACCTATTGTGCACGTGCTGACACTTGGTAAGAATAGTTTAACTTGTTCCACTCCATTGTCTTTTTCCTAGTCTGGCAACTTCTCCGTATTTATCCAATTTCCTTCGAAAGTCACTCTAGAATTTGTTTTAGAGTCTGATTCCAAGTCGTGACTTTAAATGGAAAGAAATTTTTTAAATTCAACATACAGCTTCAAAATTCCACAATTCTACCAAGTCAAATGCCTTTTCTTCTTTTTTAATATTCGACTTGCGCTTAGCTGTGAACGGCAAAATTGAAATCTCTCTTTCCTAAAAGCCCTTTTTATGTATTGATGGAGTTTTTCTGCAGTGTGAGGCTTGTATATGTGTACTTGCAGCAGATCACTTCTGTGTTTCACTGTGGATCTACCTATATCTAAATGATTGCTTCTGAATATGTTATTGTGTGAGGTGGGTCATTTATATTTACAGCTAACGAATTAAAGAACCTCCAGTCAGCACTCCAGTCAGAGGTTTGCTCACTCTGTTTTGAGAATAATTCAGACAAATCTACTTTCACACTCCTTTGCCCACCATTTTATCTCTGCAGGAAAAGGTGGCGAGTAAAATTCCCCTTTGTGGTGAAATTCTGGTCTCTATCTGGTTGAAATAGCATTTAGTGGCAAGTGCATACCTGTAATTTAATTTCATTATAAATTTCAAATTATTTGAGTTTCAGTGAGAGCAAAGTGTGTTCTGTAGTGCCTTTCATGCCCTTAATGCAGCACCACCAGCCCCCAACTCACAACAAAAGCATTTCATAGCCAGTTAATTAGTTTAGAAATGCAGTTGCTATTGTTTTGTAGACCAGCCAAATAGTGCACATTAAGATCACATAAGCAGTTAAGGAACTGCCCAGTTAAGCTATGTTTGATATCCTTGAGTGTTAGATTTTAGTCTGGACAACTCTCTCTTTCTTGTCTTTGGGGTCCCAGAACCACCGAAACAGGTAGAATTAGCCCTGGATTCAATCTTACGTACAAAAAAATGGTTTTTGTGAGAGCATAGCACTGACCAGCGTGAGGATGTTTCATCATGGTGAAATTTAGATGGCGATTGTTGTGATCAGTTAGAGGATGGGTGAACAGGTTTGCTGATGTGGTGTGTTTGTACTCTGCTCATGTGGTCTATGTGGCATTGGTATTATTGTTTATCTCAGAATTCTCCCATGGTTTCCAATGCCCTCCAAATCTAACAAGATTGTACATCTTTCTCAACTGCAAGCAATTGCTGTAAGATTTTGATATTTGTTTGAAGCAAGTTGAAGAGAAGATTGACATGCTTTTGAGAGAAATACTGTTGAAATATGATTTCATTTGATGTCCTTGCCAGAGATAAAATAGTTTTAAAAATGTCTTATTTCAAAATAACTTTTCAAAGTGGTCCTGGTGTCTATTAAGTCTGGGCCTCTTTTCAACGGTGAGCAGGCAGGTGGGTCGAAAAGAGTAAATATTAATACCTGCTCTTGTTTTCCTTAGTGTAACGCAACAGTAAAACATTGCCTGTGCTTCACATTATAAATTGCTTGACTCAGCTGCGTATGTAACCATAAATCGCAATAAGCACAACGAATTGAACACACATTTAATTCTGGTATAACACCATTCTGTGTTAAACGGTGGTGGAGCATCCCAGAACTGCAGAAGAAGAATTGAAGTCTTCAGCAGTTGATTTGAAATGGACAATTTTATAAACTGGCCAACCACATTCATTGTGTACTGTTCGACTAAGTGAATTACTACGGTTTAGAAAAGTGGGAAAGGGGATGTTTCGGTTATAGGAAGAAGAGATTTAAATTACTTGCGGTAAGATAGTAATGGATAAACTAGTTGAGTAATTCAGAGTCTTGGGTAAGAGATGAAGTTCTGTAGCTGTATTTAGTTGGAGATGCCCTATATACTAGTGTAACCTCATTAGCGGCATGGACTTTTCAGACAGCTGATTGAAGATGTTACATAGGTGGAAAACTAAATAGAGTACTGGCTGGTCAAGTGTCAAGGCTGCCTCATACATTGTCTGTGCCCAGTCTGACCCAAATGAGAGTTGCCTGACTGCAGGCTAGGACCAGAGCAGACAGTTTTCACAAATCCATGATTGTTAGGAAAGTTTGTACCTACCATTCTCCTCTGGTTGCTCAGACAGAAGGTGCAGATCTGTTTGGGTTGGTTGCTCTCTGTCTCGGTGACCCTGGTGCCAGGGTAGTAGCTGGATGCACTCGTGTGACATGGTTGTCCATCACCAGCCTCTCCCAGGAGCAACACGTTATCCAGGTGTGAGATATAACTGGAAGCCAACCGCAGGGTCTCTATTTTGGACAATTTCCTATCTGCAGGCTCGGTGGGGATGAGGGTCCTAAGTGCTGTGAAAGCCGTGTTGACGCTGTTGGTCCTGTCTCTCTCTCTGGCATTTGCAGCTTGTCTCTGTCTAATGACTCCCGTTACCGTAGCTTTCCTCTTCCTCTTTCCTCCTCCTCCTCCACCATAAGGTCCCAGACTGAAGGATGTCTCCGAACCCGAGCTCTCGCTGTCCAGTTCCTCGTCGCCTTCTGACAGCATGCTGATCTCTGGGTAGAGGCAGCGACTGGGGACTGATCTTAACATGGCAAAGGACATTTCTGCGCGGGTGGGGATTAGTTCACCCAGTGCGTCTCCCTTTGCGTTTTTCCTTTTTAATTTATTTTTTTCTCAAAACTCAGAGAACAAGATCTAACAAAATAAATTTTAACAATTCATACTGAGCTAACCCTCAGGTTCTCATCTCCCTCCCTTTCCCAACAAAGTAATTTTCCTGTTCCTCTGATCTCTGTTTTTCAATTTGTTCTGTCCTTCCACTCTCTGCCTCTAAACTATCCCTTTTCCTCTGTCTCAATACATATTGCTGTATCTTTCTCTGCCTCTCTAACTGTTTCAAGCTTCGCTGAGATCAGGTTTTTATAAGTAGGAGGCGGGACCCAGTCAGAAGGCGTTCTAGGGAGATCCTCTGAAATACTTCTCTCTTATTTTAACCCTTTCCCAGGGCTTCCCTCAGCCCTCTGGCATTTCACGTGCATTTGTAATCACTGACTCAGTTGGAGATATGATAAAATTGCATCGACCATCCTGATCACAGTCTACAAATTCACTTCAAATCAATTATTCTCTTCGTCTCCTCCCACCCCCCCCCCCCCCAACTCAAATAAAAAACCATTAGCTAGTGGTTTAAGAATGAACATTTAATCATAGAATTTTACAGCATATATCGGGCTAGCTGACTTGTATATTTTTTTCCATGAGCTGTCTTGTCTAATCTAATCTGAATTTTCTAGCCCTCAAATTTCTATAATAGATCCATCTTATTACAGCTTTTCTACACCCTCCACGTACACTTTAATATTCTATCCAAATCATTTCACTCCCTCTACCTTTTAATATCCCACCCAGTCTCATCTCACACCTTGTTCCCACTTCCACCAACTCACTAACTGCAGCCTTTAATATCCCAACAGTCTAATCTCACTCTGCTGCTCTCTCTGTATCCTTTAGGATCCTTGTGGCACTGAGCATAACCTAATCTTGGCTTTACCAATTACCAAAGGATCATATTGGTGTCCTGTTCATGGCATGCAGTGGTTGAGTTGAATTACTGAGCAGGTTAAATACAAGTCCCGTCAACCTATGTATCACTGAGTGGCTCAGATGTCACTTGCTGAGTTTTACAATCATTTTCAAATAAATTCTGTGCAGTGCTGTTTCTATACACATACATGCACACATTATTAAATTGTATTAAAGTATATTTTTAAAGTTAATTGTAAAAATGGGATTTAAAATTCTTACTGGGGAATCTGAATCTTGGTTAAGTGTCCCTAATGTGACTGACATGATGGCTCTGTCAGAGTAGTATTAATTTGGGACATATAGAAATTAAGTAGGTTCAGATTATTGTTATTTTTAAAAATCAAATGCTTTCTTCTCAGCTGAAAATATTTTTTGTAGTTTCTAATTGCATGCTTGTTCTCATCTTCGTCATACTGCCTTAGTTCAGATCTTTGACTGCTATCTCTTTCAATTATTTGTGAAATGGCTATATATTTTACAACAATACATGGTTCATCCAGTACATGGTTCTGTGGCTAACTGGATCCAGGCTCTATGATTGTGGGACAGGCCAGTGACACTGGCTTCACCTGAGCATCTTGAATTGGACATAAAAGCATGTGATCAGAGTTCCCAAAGAGAATGGCTACCAGCTTGCATTTGTTTGGAACTTCAGGGGACCATGGATCAGCATTGTGTGATTGACTCATGGTCAGAAAGCTTGCCAGCACTTTGCATTGAGGCTTATGCACCAAAAGAACAAAATCTTGAGTACGTAGGGAGGCACTGAGCTTAGCTCTGATAAGAACTTGGCAGCGTGAGCCAAAAGGGTTAATAATCGGAAGAACCGGATACTGTCCGGTTTTGACACAAACTGGTTTGTTCCTACTCTGGTAATCAGGTTACCAAGTGGCACCAGTGGGGGATCTAATCGGGGATAATTTGGGATCCTGAGAGAGCCAGTCAGTGGGAGAGTAAGGAAATCAGTAATGGGGCTGCTTTTGCGTTGAAACCGCAAAACAATGGAGATTTTACATCTGGGAAAGTCATTGGAATATATGAAATGGTAAGCATTTGGAATGATATCCACTGTGGGAGCTGGACAGTATGGAGTGTGCCTCTCTTTTTAACATTTTGACATCAGAGCAATGTCTGCTGCTCTTCAAAAAAAAAAATTCAAAATGAAGATCCTTTGTAACCTGTGCACTTTATTTGAAGTGACCTCTCTAGAAAGTCTCAGCAAGCTGAGCTGACCTGAGATACTGTGTTTGAAGGACCAGGTTCCGGTGGTCTGTTGCAGACTCTGCTCAGCACCTGTTCCTCTCCGATTCACCACAGTTCCCCTTGGGGACACTATTTAAATAGGCCCAAGAGTCTGACTTTCTTCCTCTAAAGCTCAGTTTTCACATTTGATCTCTTGATTTATGTCTTCCTTGTCTGTCTTTATCTCCACTCCCAAATCTCTTGTTTATCCATGTTTTAGTTTAATTGTTGAGGCAGTGTTCACAGGAATGTTAGTTCCTAGTATAGCAATGCTGCCGCTAACTTGTAGTCATGGGTGCATTTAGCATTTGTAGTATGTCCATTTGAACTGTGTGACGTACCCAGCAGCATTTTTAACAGATTCCATTCATCAAGACTACAGTGAAAGCGTTCTGAGCTGTGTTGGAAGTACGGGTCAGCACCCTGCATCACTGGCGATGGGAGCATTCTGAGCAGGTGAATGGTCATGGTAGCAACTAAAATAAGTCTCCACCTCCAAGAATTACCAGGCTGTGTGGGAATGCCTTCATCTTCAACTCTCCTTCTGTGTCTCTGTCACCATTCTGACGAAGATGCATGTTGCTCATTGCTGCATGATTGTTGCTTCAGAATTCTGAGATACACTCCTTGACAACACTGTGGGAGCACCTTTACCATGAGGTCTGTAACATTTTGAGAAGACAGCCTCTTATCATCGTCTTGAGGGCAACAAGTGTGGGTTTTCTGAGCAACATTTGAGCCTCAGGAATTGGGTGACTGGTGAGAGCAGTGGAAACCTATGTTAGTAAAATGCTTTATTGAGGGTTAACTACTGACGCGGTAACTAGATTCATTGTGCAAATCACTGTCTGCAAGTACCTACTAAATCCTACAAAAGGAGTGGCAGTCTTTCGGTGCCTATGTCTGGTCTGAGTATGTTCATAGATGGATTGCAGCAGTTAAAGAAGGCAGCTCACCACAACTGATTCAAGTGTTCTGAGGAAGAGCCATATCGGACTTGAAATGTTAATTCTGTTTCTCTCTCCACAGATACTGCCAGATCTGCTGAGTTTCTCCAGCATTCTCTGTTTCTTTATGTTCATAGGTGATTGAGAATGCACTGGGATGGTTGATTAGCTTGTCTTGCTTTACTGGAAGCAAGAAAGACTGATTCATTAAAATGACCTTATTATAAGACCATAAGAAGTAGGAGCAGAAGCAGGCCATTCAGCCCATCAGGTCTGTTCCACCATTTAATGAGATCATGGCTGATCTGATAATCCTCAACTGCACTTTTCAACTCCCCTGTCTTTTCCTATATTCCTTGCTGATTAAAAATGTGTCTATCTCAGTCTTGAATATACTTAGTGGCACGGCCTCGATAGCCCTCTGCATTGAAGAATGCCACAGATTCAGTACCCTCTGAGAGAAGGAATTCCTTCTCATCTTTGTCTTGTGGATGATTCCATATTCTGAAATTATGTCCTGTGATGTTAGAATCTCCCACGAGGGGAAACAACTTTTCTGCATCTGTCCTGTCAATTCTCCTAAGAATCTTGTATGTTTCAATAAGGTGGAAGGTGTCATCAACAGTGCTATCAAGCAGCGCCTGCTCAGCAATAACCTACTCAGTGACACCCAGTTTGCTTTCCATTAGCCCACAGTTCTGAAGAAGGGTCACTGGACCCAAAACATAAACTCTCCTTTCTCTCCACAGATGCTGCCAGACCTGCTGAGTTTCTCCACCAATATCAGATTTTGTGGACAATATGCAGATTTGGACTGAAAAGTGGCAAGTAACATTTGAGCCACACAAGTTTTTTTTTTTAATTCACTTGTGGGATGTGGGCATTGCTGGCTGGCCAGCATTTCTTGCCCGTGTCCTACCTTGACTCAGTCTTCTCCCCCCAGTCCAATCCCTACCCACGTACATCCATGAATCATCTGACGCCTTACTCCGGTTTCAAAACTTCGAGTTTACTGCTCCAGCTGCCTCCTCTTTACCATGGATCCCTTTACAATCCCTTTACACAGCCATTCCCCACCAGGAGGATCTTGGGGCTCTCCACTTCTTCCTGGAGCAAAGACCTGAACCATCCCCACCCACCACCACCCTCCTCCGCTTGGCCGAGCTTGTCCTTACCCTCAACAACTTCTCTTTCAACTCCTCTCATTTTCTTCAGGTAAGAGAGGTTGCCATGGGTACCCGTATGGGCCCCAGTTATGCCTGTCTCTTCGTGGGGTATGTGGAACATTCCTTGTTCCAGTCCTATTCCAGCCCCCACCCGCAACTCTTTCTCCGATACATCGATAATATCATCAGTGCTGCTTCCCTCTCTCGTCTGGAATTGGAAAACTTCATCAATTTTGCCTCCAATTTCCACCCTGCCCTCACTTTCACCTGGTCTATCTCTGACTCCTCCCTTCCCTTCTTTGACATTTCTGTTTCTATTTCTGGGGCTAAACTGGCCACTAATATCCATTACAAACCCACTGACTCCCACAGCTACCTGGACTACACATCCTCACACCCGACTTCCTGTAAAGACTCCATCCCATTCTCTCAGTTCCTCCGTCTCTGTTGTATATGTTCAGATATGGCCAACTTCGACAAGGGAGACTCCGAAATGTCCACCTTCTTCCTCACCCAAGGATTCCCCAGCTCCGTTGTCGACAGGGCCCTCAACCAGGTCCAACCCATCTCCCGCACTTCCGCCCTCACCCCTTCTCTTCCCTCCTGCAACGGCGATAGGTTCCCCTTATCCTCACCTACCATCCCACCAGCATCCACATCCAGAAGATCATCAGATGCTATTTCTGCCACATCCAGCAAGATGCCACCACCAGACACATA